TTCTGCATCGCGTTTGCCGATTGATTTCAGCCATGATCCTACAACTGTCCTCTCTGTTGCTGCTCCTCTTGGCAGGGAATGGAAAAAAATCTGCCAGGCTACTGGTTGCAATCCAACAAATTGTCTACACTGCTGTAGGCAAAGGCAGACAGTGCAAGTCTTGGCTATTGATGTTTCTCACCATCAAACAGCATCACGCTCACATAAACAATATCCATTTAGACTGACCCAGGAACCGAGAGAGCTGGGTTCAATTCCCGACAGGGCGAAACCTTGTGCACGTTTCCTTATTCCACATGCCTGATAATAATCTCTCAAGAAAAAAACAATAATAATTTGGTCACTTCAATCCACGACTGTTTGTGGGACACTGCTGTGTGCAATTGGCTTATGCGTTTCGCCCACAAAAATGCAGTCAATTCACTTGACAGTAAATTCTGTGTGGCGCTTTGAGAGGTCTAGAAGACGTGAAAAGCGCTACATCAAATTCAAAGATTATTAATACTTATTATTTGTAGCTGATCGTGGCAGCCAATTTGCACATAGCAATGTCACACAGGAAGTGAATAACCATTGCAATTTTAATCTGGGGGAATGTCAGGCAGGACTCAGGGGGGAGGAAAACTCCCTTTTTTTGAACATTGTTATGGGATGTTTAACATCCACTTGAGCAGGCTGAATGCGCTACCTGAATTTCTCATTGAAAAGATGTCAACTCCAGCAACACAGCCCTTCTCCAAGCCTGCCATGGTCCTAAGGGGTTTGAACTCACATCCTTCTGACTCAAAAGCAGGAATGCTACAGGAAGAAACGGTGAGAAAATTGGGAAGAATAAAAGCACTAAATTGGATAACAACCCTGTTATAGCATGTTGGCCTGGGTCTTGTCAGAGACAAAAAGAGAATGTGGAAAAAGTAGCTGACTTCTGGGATGTCAGGTTGCTGCCCATATCGCTGTTGGACCCGGGTTCTCTCGCTTGCGAGGTGAGCGCGCTAACCACAACGCTACACAAATCCACTTCCATCGCAAACTGACATTAACAACAACAACAAAATTACATTTGTATAGCGCCTCTCACTTCAGGAGGACGTCCCAAGGCACTGGACAGTCAGTTTTGGCAATTAACGGCAATCTCCGCCCATAACTTGACAGTGGCAATGACCCATGTCCTGCACGCCCGTTTACTGTGGGCTCACAAGGCGCCCATGTTAAAAGCAAAGCCCTTAATAACGCCCGTGTAATTCCACAAGCGTTGCATTGCTAATCCCACTTGGCATTGGAAACTGTTTTCATTTCAGCATTTTTTTTTTGGCTCCAGGAGGTGCTGACTCATGTTGTGGTTGTTCTTCGTGACTAAGATAGATAGTGAGTGTTGGCAGACTATTAAATTGAAATATCACAACTAAATCTGATCTTGTCATACGATATCCACACACACACTGAATTGTAAATCCTTGGAGATTTTTTCAGCCTCCCTCGCCCAAGGGGTCCAATTGTAGCAACACCCTCTCCCCCACACTTCTCTCACCGAAGTCCTTCTGAAATCAGCAAAGCCACTCCTCCCCACATCCCCGCCCTCAATAAAGAGAATAAAACTACCAAATAAAAAATGCAATAAATAATTGAGTGCTTGGTAGATTTTTTTAAAAAATAAATATATCTGCTGCGTCATGAACTGGCTGCGAACAGGACAGTGGGTGTCTGAAGCCGTCTCTCTCAGCACGCTCGCCGGCCTCAATGAGAGTGAGAGGCAAAAAAAAAAAAAAAAAATGCACATTGTCCCTGTATTCTGCCTTTAATAATAATAATACTTTCATTTGATTATAGCGCCTCACCACATCTTTGAGACGTCGCAAAGCGGGTCACGGGATATACCGTCAAGTGGATCGACTCGTCGTTTTGTGGGCGAAACGCGGCAGCCGATGGCGCACTAAAACAATTCGCCTACAAAATGCAGTCACCGTGCTTTAACAGTATGTCCTGCTGAGTGCTTTGGAATGCGCTCCTGACGTGAAAGGCGGTGTATGAAAATACAAAGATGATTATGACTCAATTTGCTGCTCACACCCGTTTGAAGATGTAAACAATGACAGAGCCACTAGGACCCGGCAGTCAGGACACACACACACACACACACAACACACACACAGCCAATGATGAGCAAACGCGCCCTCAGGGCCAGAAACAGTAATAAGAGAGGAAGATAAACACAAGGAAGTGGAGAGAAACGAGAGAGAGAGAGAGAGGAATATAGGTACTGTACACACACAGAGGCTTGTAACAGACATCGAGATAAACACAAGGAGGGAAACTAGAGAGGGATATAGGTACTGTACACACACACACACACACACAGACTATATCAGACATTAAGATAAACACAAGGAGGGAAACTAGAGAGAGGTATATAGGTACTGTACACACACACACACACACACAGACTATGTCAGACATTAAGATAAACACAAGGAGGGAAACTAGAGAGAGGTATATAGGTACTGTACACACACACACACACACAGACTATGTCAGACATTAAGATAAACACAAGGAGGGAAACTAGAGAGAGGATATAGGTACTGTACACACATCACACACACAGAGGCTTATAGCAGACATTAAGATAAACACAAGTGGAGAGAAGCTGTGTGTGTGTGTGTGTGGGGGGGTCGATACACACACTCACACACACAGATATTAGGATTGACTGACAGACGTGGATCCGGTGCACTGTTACCAAAGAGATCGGGTTTTAGTTCGCGTGAAAATCCACTTTTTTTTAAAATAAAAAGCCATTTCCAGTGCCAGTGGGGAAAGGCTGGTTTTCATTATCGCGAAATTAAAGACCGACTTTTCTAAAGTTTTAACCAATTGAGAGAGTGAGAGAGAGAGTGAGGGAATGAGAGAGTAAGAAAGGGTGAGTGAGAGAGAGGGAGAGAGAGTGAGAGAGTGAGTGAGAGTGAGAGAGTAAGTGAGAGAGAGAGTGAGAGAGTGAGTGAGAGAGAGTAAGTGAGTGAGAGTGAGTGAGAGAGAGTGAGTGAGTGAGAGAGAGTGAGAGAATGAGAGAGTGAGTGAGAGAGAGTAAGTGAGTGAGAGTGAGTAAGTGAGAGTGAGTAAGTGAGAGTGAGTAAGTGAGAGTGAGTAAGTGAGAGTGAGTAAGTGAGAGTGAGTAAGTGAGAGTGAGTAAGTGAGAGTGAGTGTAAGTGAGAGTGAGTGTAAGTGAGAGTGAGTGTAAGTGAGAGTGAGTGAAGTGAGAGTGAGTGTAAGTGAGAGTGAGTGTAAGTGAGAGTGAGTGTAAGTGAGAGTGAGTGTAAGTGAGAGTGAGTGTAAGTGAGAGTGAGTGTAAGTGAGAGTGAGTGTAAGTGAGAGTGAGTGTAAGTGAGAGTGAGAGTGAGTGAGAGAGTGAGTGAGTGAGTGAGAGTGAGTAAGTAAGTGAGAGTGAGTGAGTGACAGAGAGAGTCCACATCAGGCACTCACTCCCCACCTGCCCCTCCCTCCCTCACTCCCTCCCTCCCTCCCTCCCCCCCCCCTCTCCCTCCCTCCCTCCCCCTCCCTCACTCCCTGCCCCTCAGTGAGTGTGAGTGACACTCGGGCTGCGCTCCCCTCACGGGGGGGACCTCCGGCGCCTTTTGTACCAAACACACAATTTCCCGCGATTTGTGCCCTGACATGTCCCGGAAACGACAGTAAAGAGAGAGAGAGAGAGAGTCTGACAACAAACAACAACCAACCCCCACCCCCGGCAACGGAGGGGGAGAGAGAGGGGGGGGGGGGGGGGCTTCGTGCAGTGACCAGGACAGCGGGGAGGGAGGGGGGGGAGGGTCAGTCAGCCCCAGGTCAGGGTCGGGGGGGGGGGGTCGGGCTGTGACAGCACCAACTGATGTGCCGCCGGGTGGGGGGGGGAGTGTTGGTGGGGGGCGTTGGTGGCGGGGGGTGGGTGTGTGGGTGAGGGGCTATGCTGGGGTGGGGGGGGTGTTGGTGGGGGGGGGTGTTGGTGGTGGTGGGAGGCTGTGCTGGGGTGGGGGGGGTGTTGGGGGGTGTGTGGGTGAGGGGCTGTGCTGGGTGGGTGTGTGGGTGGGGGGCTGTGCTGGGTGGGTGTGTGGTGGGGGCTGTGCTGGGTGGGTGTGTGGGTGTTGGTGGGGGGGTGGGGAGGGGTGCTGGGGTGGGTGTGTGGTGAGGGGCTATGCTGGGGTGGGGGGGGTGTTGGTGGGGGGGGGTGTTGGTGGTGGTGGGAGGCTGTGCTGGGGTGGGGAGGGTGTTGGTGGGGGGTGGGAGGGGGTGCTGGGTGGGTGTGTGGGTGAGGGGCTATGCTGGGGTGGGGGGGTGTTGGTGGGGGGGGGTGTTGGTGGTGGTGGGAGGCTGTGCTGGGGTGGGTCTGTGGGTGAGGGGCTGTGCTGGGGTGGGGGGGGTGTTGGTGGGGGGGGGTGGGGAGGGGGTGCTGGGGGGGTGTGTGGGAGGGGGTGCTGGGGTGGGTGTGTGGGTGGGGGGCTGTGCTGGGGTGGGGAGGGGGTGTTGGTGGGGGTGGGGGGGGTGGGGAGGGGTGTTGGGGTGGGTGTGTGGGTGAGGGGCTGTGCTGGGGTGGGGGGGGTGTTGGTGGGGGGGGGGGTGTTGGTGGTGGTGGGAGCTGTGCTGGGGTGGGTGTGTGGGTGAGGGGCTGTGCTGGGGTGGGGAGGGGGTGTTGGTGGGGGGGTGGGGAGGGGGTGCTGGGGTGGTGTGTGGGTGAGGGGCTGTGCTGGGGTGGGGAGGGGGTGTTGGTGGGGGGGGGGTGGGGAGGGGGTGCTGGGTGGGTGTGTGGGTGGGGGGGGTGTTGGTGGTGGGGGGGGGTGTTGTTGGGGGGGGTTGGTGGGGGGTGTGTTGGTGGTGGGTGTGTGGGTGAGGGGCTGTGCTGGGGTGGGGGGGGTGTTGGTGGGGGGGGGGTTGGTGGTGGTGGGAGGCTGTGCTGGGTGGGTGGGGGGGGTTACAGGCACAGCGTTTGCTCTGTAGCTGCAGCGGGTACTCACCCTCAGGTTGGCAGGTGTCCGGCAGTGCAGTGCAGGGGCAGTGCAGCCGTGTGTCAGTGTCAGTGCTCCTCACTCACTCACTCCCTCACACTGTCTAACGCTCCGCTCCCCGCACAGACCCACTGCTTACCTCCACTCTGACCTGTCACTCACCCCCACGCCCCGCCCCGCCCTCCACCAGCCGCAGCCCTCATTGGGTCGACCCGCTGCCCGTCTCCGGGGGAAGCAGCCAATGGCAGCGGGGCTGGGCCGTCGCTATAGCGCCGCCCACCCCTGCCTGCGTTCTCCCCCCCCCCCCGGCCACCACCCTCCCGCCCCCTTGCAGGACTGGTCTTCCACCGCAGGGGCGCTCTCTCCCGCCCGCTCACTCGTTTAACCCTCTTGCTCGCTCGCTCGCTCGCTCCTCTCCGTCCGCCTCCAACCCGCGCGGGGCGCCGCCTACAGCCCGAGCGCCGCCGGCGACCGCTCGTGTCGCTCCCGGAGGAAGGCATTGTGGGTGTTGTAGTGGCGCGCGGTGGGGTTCTGTGGCTTCTCTTCTCGCAACGCTGATCATCGTATTAACCGTTGATAACTCCCGCGTTTGACCTCGAGTCACCGAGGCGTCTCGGGGCGCTTCACGGAACATACTGTCAAAGTGGAGTGACTGTGTGTTATTGTGTGGCCGAGACGCACCCGCACTCACTGGACACTGGGCCTTGTCGCGCCTTCGCGACGTCTTGAGGCGCCGCACCGCGTGTGCTGTCCAGTGAGTTGATTGTATAATAATAATCCTTGCATTTGATATAGCGCTTTTCACGTCGGGAGGACGTCCCAAAGCGCTTCACAGAACACACTGTAAAGTGAATTGACTGTATATTTGTGGGCGAACGCGGCAGCCAATTGCGCTCAGCAATGTCCCACAAACAGTTGTAGATTGAAAATGACCAATTTATTATTGGTTTTGGTTTTGGAGGGATTATTATTAGGCTCTGTGTGGAGTAAGGAAACTTGCCCGAGGTTTCGCCCTCTGTCTGGAATTGAACTCAGGTCTCGCACTTGCAAAGCGAGTGCTCTAACAACTGAGCTACAGGACTCCACCATATAGGTTTATGGGCGAAACACCGCAGCCGACGGCGCACCGCAGCGTCCCGCAGACAGCTGTGGATTGGACTGGACCAAATTATTGTCGGTTATGTATTGTTATCACTTACACACGGTCGACAGGGGCTTATAAAACATCGCCATTAACAGACCCTGGAGCACCCAAGCAACTCGACATAAAAGCAGCATGGGAAGTAATCGAAATAAAAGTGATTCGGTACAGCAGCCCCAAACACTTGAGTTATTTCTTCTGCGGTTGCCATAATTTAAGCAACTTGTAGTGACGAAAAGACGTCGGCGGGATCTCAGCCGGGCGGTCCTTTGGCCGGAGCTGAATGCACGAGGAATTTATTTCCATTGTTCCATCACAGGCTCTGCCGAAGGTTATTTTGTTTGCTGTTACAATAAGTTTGTGTATTTATTCAGAAGCTCTGCCCATGAGGTCATGCAGTGAGTTAAACGTACAAAGCTAACACTTTCACTGTGAATGAGAGGTCCCCCTTCTATCTGTGCCCCCAAACTTCTCCCACTTTCTGAGCTTAAATGCTTATAAGTGGCAAGATAGAATGATTCTGTATCATTTGCAAACCCTGGTAATTGTTGTTCGTAGGGTTTAATTTTAACCTGAAACCAACTATGGCAAGCAATGATGTCCTTGTCAACGTGCGTTACAAGTTGCAGTGTTGAATGTAATGTTGTTACTCTTTAAAATCATGAGGCAATGTTTCGCTTCTGGGTGAAACTTGTGTCGATAAACATCTCTTAATCCAACATCTTCCACTGTATCAAACATTCCAAATTACAGTAATGAGGCTCTGACAAGTTACCGCGATGTACTCGAGGGTGAATGCATCTCCCAGTTTATCATGGTCCTAAACGCCAGTGTTTCGATTTGGGGGTCTTTGCTGAATTAACTGATCTCAGTTTGGCTGGGATTAAGGGTTCTACAGTCTGTGCTTTGCGCCTGGGAGGGGAACATACACACTGAAAGTGTCCTGAGCCTCTGCTGACACAGTGATTGATGGTGATACGGTGACATTTGTGGAGTCCTGTAGTGTAGTGGTTAGCACACTTGACTTGCAAGCGAGAGAACCCTTTGGCAAGTTTCCTTACTCCACACACAGTAAATAGGAAACCAGTTGTTAGTCAATTAATAGATTGCTTTCTGGGGATAATAATCCATCAAAACAAATGTTGTCACTCAATCCAAGACTGTGGGACAATACTGTGGGCAATTGGCTGCCACGTTTCACCCACAAATGAGGTTAATCCACTTCGCAATATATTCTGTGAAGCTCTTTGAGATGTCTCAATGACATGAAAAGACGCTTTATCAAATGCAAGGATTATTATGGTCACACAGTGACCGATGGTGACATAGTGACTGCTGCTGACATGGTGACTGCTGCTATAAAGTGCACCAGTTTGGATGTCAATAAAGAAATGACTGGGCTCAGCCTTGATTTCTCTCAGCACTCAAAAGAGCCTCCGAGCACTTTCTGTCTGGCTCAGGCATGAAGAGCGACCACTTGGGGGAGGTACTGAGGATCTACAGGCCAACCAGATGAATTAGGATGGCATTTTCTGCTCCTGTGCATTGCCATGTTCCCAAGGAATCAATGCCTTGAGGTGAGGAAGTGAAAAAATGAGGAGAAAAATACCGTATTCCCCATTAAAGAGGCTAACTTGACATGATTCATTTACACAACTCATACACCGTGTTATATATGTGAAAAAGTTGTGGCTAACTTTCTGAAGTCAGCACATGGATCTGCCAATAACAGGCTTGCATGGTTAATTGTCAGTTTACTGCAGATTGCATAATGAGGTTGTGGTGTTGGGGGAAGGAAAATGAGGGGCTGAGATGATAATAATGGATTGGGGATGGAAAAGGGAGAGCGCTGTCCATTGTCGCTGCACTAATGCTAGGGTTATGTTACATACGAGGAACTTGTTGGTGCCGTTGTGATGGTTGGTTTGACGCAGAGCGATTGCGAACCACAAACAAGCTGTGCCACATTCCCTCAATTACCCTGTAGCGCAGTGGTTAGTGATAGCCACCTCGCAAGCGAGAGGACCCGAGTTTGATTCCCGGGTAGGGCGAACCCTTAGGCAAATTCCTTACTCCGAACATCTCTGTTTACCTTGCAGTATGCCGGAACCTGGTTGTTAGTCGATTGGTGGATCACCTTCCAGGTAATAAACTTTCCAAAGAAACAAAAGTTGGTCACTCAATCCATGTCTGTTTGTGGGACACTGGTGTGCGCAATTGGCTGCTGAGTTTCGCCCACAAAATACGCGGTCAATGCACTTGTTGGAAGTGCTTTGAGATGTCTCAACGATGTGATAAGGCACTATATTAAATGCAAGGATTAGTATAAAGATTATTATTATCTTAGAAAGGGGCTGTGTCGTTTGGCACTGAATTGAATAGACCTGCGGACCAAATTAACTTTACACATTCTATAGGTGGTCGTGTTCCTTTGTTTGGTTCAAGTAAATGGAGCGGTAAAGAAAGGGTTATTTCAAGTAGTGATGCTAAAGGAGCCCCAGGTCAAGGATCAGGTCAGAGTTTCCTTTCACTGCCACATCGCCTCTGACCCTCATTAAAAAGCACCCAACATGTCTGCAGCAATCCACAGGAGCCAGACTAGAGATTAGCAGAAATGTTTTTGAACGCAGAAGAAGAAAGAACTCGCGTTTTAATCAGATTGAAATCGCTCAAAGCTCTTTACAGTAATTACTGTCAATGTGGTCAATGTGTTTGGAGGCAAATGTGGCAGCCATTGTGCACAACACCAGGTCCCGCAAGAAGCCAACGACTGATATACCTGGAGGATTAAGAGAAATTCCCTGCCTTCTTTGTTTGGATAGGGTTATGGGATCTGTAACATCCACCTGAAGGACAGGTAGAGTACTGTGGATGCAGACCAGAGAGGCTGTACATGCTCGGTCAATTAATTGCTTGTAAACCGAGCAGCACATATTGTTGTGAACCGGGGTGGAAGGTACAGGGGTAGGGGTAGACTAGGATGAACAACAGCATTGTATTCAACTGTAATCCTTTCCTCTCTCCATCACACTGTGAGCACCTGACATGTTCATCCTGTATGAAAGGGACTGTACAAGCTCAAGTTGTTATTGGCATCCATGTCTCGTGGTACAGTGCACTGACAAAGATACTATGTAGTGCAACCTGGACATTTCCAATGCAGTTTCTTATCAAAACTCAGAAAAAAATAATACATTCATATTGGGAGGCGCTAATGAATTTGTTCCCTCGATGGCTCGGTGGGTAAATGCATCAGGTGTGGGACTGAGTCACGCAAACAGAGGGCAAGTGGCATGCTCCATTCTGGCCAACATTGGGTGACTCCAGTTGGACATGGTGCTAAGGAGACACTACAGCTGGCCTCAGCACCCCTGGGCTAGGGAAGAGAATACGTAAGGATTCTCACCACTGATCCAGAGACAACCCCCACCCCCCAAACCCCACCGTCAAGTGTGAATATGTTTGTGTGTGTGTATGAGAGAGAAAGAGACAGCATTGTGTTCAACTATAGCCCTCCCTCTCCCCTCCACCCCCACCACAAACGCAAAATGGTGAGTTTCGCCTATAAATACACAGTCAATCCCCTTTACAATATATTCTGCAAAGCGCTTTGAGATGCTCAACAATATGATAAGGTGCTCTATCAATGCAAGGATTATTATTATTATTATTATCATACATACACTCCAACACATGAAGAATAACCACAAGGGTGAAGTCCCAGAGGGAATATAACACACCCCAAAACAAGTTAACAGCTTCACGAGAGGAATTTTGAGAGGGATTGAATTGGATAGCTCTTTTCAAAGAGTTGGCACAGACACGATGGGCCGAATGGCCTCCTTCTGTGCTGTGTAATTCTATGATTCTATACTCGGTCTCTCACTTGATAAACAAGCTCACAAGAGGAGTTCTTTACACATCTGACACCTCGTGACAAGGAAGTGTATTACACACATGCATCACTGATTGCCCATCCAAGCCTCGTTCCTGCACAGGGTGTCCACAAAGTCCTGTT